ATTTATGTCAGTGTTTCCTTTAAACATTTTTATGTTTATAGCACAAAGTTGTTACTGTATTTCCAACTGGTAAGTGACACTTCAAGCAGACTGTAGATGTAAGGAGGATAAATAAGGTAAGTTGTCTTTAGATCATTTTTAAAGAAGAAGTAAGATACAGATAGATCTCTTTTACATTATCCTTGGCTATTCTGACACTGCAAGTACACAAAAACTAATTTGGGGAAGAAATTGGAAGTACAATCTTAGTTGGAAAGATCAGTGGATATGCATAATATACTCCAGTTAAATCCATATTACAACTTAGAAGAAAGGATAAAACCTTTTGTATATTCTATCCAGTTCAAGAAACTAGCTATATAGTACATTAGTTTTGCAAGTTGAAAAAAAAATTAGTAGCCAACTTGAATGCAAGGATAAATCTAAACTAATCCAATGATTTCAGGATTTCTCAAAGTCACTGGTTGGCCTTGCTGTTGCAACACTTACTTAGTACTTATGAGACTTAAAAACATGATTACTTTTAAGAATGTCTTTAAAAAATTAGTTTTTGGGGGCTGGCCAAGTGGCTCAGTTGGTTAAAGAGCGCATACTCTGAACAATAGAGTTGCCGGTTCAATTCCCTCATGGGCCAGTGAGCTGCGCCTGAACTGAGCTGCTGCTGAGCTGCCAACGGGTGGCAGGATGGCTCAGCTGTTGAGAGCATGGGCTCCTAACAACAAGGTTCAACTCCCACATGGGATGGTGGGCTACGCCCACCTGCAATTAAGATTGAACATGGCACCTTGAGCTGAGTGGTGGCCACAAGCTGCTGATGGGCAGCCGGATGGCGACTGGACTTGGAGCTGAGCTAGCTGTGCCCTCCACAACTAAGATTGAAGGACAACAACTTGGCTGTTTCCTTTCCCCAATTCCCCAATAAAATCTTGAAGAAAAAAAAAAGTTTTTGGTTTTTACCTTAGAAGGCAAACAATAATTTTTTTAAGTAGCACAAAAAGGTAACACAATGAAAATGACTCTGTTCTACCCGAGAGCCCTGTTGACCTTTAGATAGGCAAGTACTTTTACTCGTTATTTCTATCCCTTTTTAAAAAAAGTCTATACATATTGACTGTCTTCTCTTTGTTAACTGTTAATCCTTTTAAAATTATGAAAAAACGTACTCCTTTAATGACTTTTATACAAATACCTTACACTTTGACATTAAAAAAATTTTTTTTAACTAGAAAAGTTAGGAGTGGGAGGTTCAGATACCGGGTGAAGAAAAACAAAGTCATGTATTAATGGTATGCACTGGTTACCAACTTTTCTGTAATATTTTAGAAGTAGAAAATTAATTTTAGGTTATTATAATTGTAGGCATACTGTTATACCATTACCAAAAGATATTTTATAGTTCTTAAATCATCACTGACATTGTACTGCAGTGGTATACATTAGGATTTTAAGTTGAGTCTGAATATTTTTTTCCCATTTCTCTTGAAAATCCTATTTTCAATTTTAACACAAAAGCACTGCTTTTAATGATACTGTCCTAACTAGCTTTTAAAAACACCTAACAGGTAGAATTTCATTACAATAATACAAGATGTTTCCAAAATGATTAAAATTTTCTTGCCAGTTTCCTGGAGCTGGAGATGACAGCTATATCCCAGCCTATTTTTCAAACCAGAAGGGAGAGGTAGGCATCATTTACGTGTTTACCACCCCTTACTCTTTCACTTTCGCTTATCAGTCCTTTGTGCTGTTTTTTAAAAAGGGGTATTTGGGGGCCGGCCGAGTGGCGCGATGGTTGGGAGCTGGCTTGGGATGCCAGAGGGCCCCGGTTCGGATCCCACATATGAGGGCCAGTGACACTGCCCTCTACAGCTAAGATGCTGAACAACAGCTCAACCTGGAACTGGGCTGCCCTGAGTCACCCGCGACGGCGTAGGCTACAGCCCCTGTGGCAGTGGGTTGCCATGGGCTACCGTGTGTAGCCAGCAGCCAGAGTGAGCGGCCAGCAGCTGCAGTGAGCGGCCGTCCAGAAGCCGGCGACTGATCTGCCTCACCCAGGAAGAGCGCAATGATGGTGCCAACTTGTGCCAGTGAAGCAACGTCCTCCACAACTAGACTGAAGAACAAAAACGACAACAACTTGTCTGTTCCCCTTCCCCCAATGCCCCAGCACTGTTCCCAACCCCCCAATTCCCCAATAAAAATCTTTAAAAAAAAATAAAAAGGGGTATTTGGGGGAGAGATTTTACTATTGCTGTCTAATGGCAAAAATAAAGCAACAAACCAACTTTTCATTCTCCCTATTGTTAAAGAATCTAACACCTGTTTGGATTTTCTTTGAGGGTTTGTTTTTGTTTTGAGCAGCTACTGAAAGTTGTTGGGAAAAAGAGCTACTGATTGCTCATAATTACTGCTGTAACTGGATGGGGCCACTGCTCCAGAAAATTCTGCAGTACATGATAATTATTCATTGCAAAGACCTTACACCTGCATAGATTAAGTCGTATGATAAACTATGATCTGAGATTGTATTTTTCATTTATTTTCACCTTGCAGAAATATGGCAGAATTTTTTTACTGATCTAACTGGATTTAATGTAGCATAAGAGTTGATTCTAAAGGTGTGAAGACCTAAATTAAGTTGGCAAGTAAATTTTGCAGATGGCTTCTAGTTCAGATATCAAATATACACATTTTAAGTGTCTGCTAATAATAATCCTAAATAAATTTGTTAATACTCAACTTTGGCTAAGAGCGATGATGTTTAATGCTTGGGGCCCTTGACCTGGTATTATTGGGTCTTCAGAAAAGTCATGACACATTTTTGCAACAGATGGCACTAGTTCATTTTTGGAAGTACTAGAGTCATTCACATCTATGTTATTGCTATGCATTTGACAGCTGACAGCTCTAGCTTCATTCTAAAAAAAAATTGAGCGATTTGGTTGAGTTTTGGCGATTTTACAACAAGTTGAAGATGGAAGACCAAACTGCATTTTTGCCATATTTTACTGTTTTACTTCCATAAAAGGAAGAATGCGTGTCAAGCTTGTGAAAAGTTGCATAAAGTTTACGGTGATAATGCTCTACAAGAATGTCAGTGCCAACGATGGTTCACGAAATTCCGTACTGGTGATTTTTATCTCAACGGCTCTCCTTGGTCAGGGAGGCCCACCGAGGTTGATGACAACAAAAGAAAGGCATTGATCAAGTCAAACCCACGTTACACGACACAAGAGATTACAGAAACATTGAACATCCATCATTCATGCGTTCATGACCACCTGAAGAAGCTGGGATACGTGAGCAAGCTTGATATTTGGGTTCCACATGAACTCGAAGTTCATTTGATGGCGCGTATAAACATCTGCAATATGCTCATTAAACAGGAAAACGATCCTTTTTTGAAGTGACTGATAACTGGTGATGAGAAGTGGATTGTTTACAACAATGTGGCATGCAAACGGTCTTGGTCCCGATGTGATGATTGTCCTCAAACGACATCGAAAGCATTCATTCATCAGAGGAAGGTTATGCTCTGTGTGGTGGGATTTTAAAGGTGTGTTTTTCAAGCTCCTACCAAGGAACCAAACAATTCGAATGTGTACTGTCGGCAATTGGACAGTTTGAAGGAATCCATTATCCAGAAACATCCAGAGCTTGTTAATTGTAAGGGAGTTGTGTGTTCCATCGTGACAATGCAAGACCACACACAAGTATGATCACCCGTCAAAAATTATTGGAGCTTGGATGGGATGTGTTGCCACACCCACCATACTCACCTGACCTTGCGTCGTCAGACTTCCACTTGTTTCACTCTTCAAAAGTGGTATAACGTTCAATTCAGATAAGGTTGTAAATCAGCACATTGTGTTTCGCAAATAAAGACAGGTCTTTTATGAATGAGGAATTATAAAGCTCACTGAAAGATGGCAAAAGGTTATCGAACAAAATGGGCAATATATCATTGATCTTTGTTCTTTATATAAATAAGTGACCTTTGAAAAACAGACAAAATATGTCATGACTTTTCCGAAGACCCAATATTAAAAAAACATTTTACCCTCTTGAAAATGTATTCTAGACTTGAGCCAACGATAGATAGCACTATACAATTAAAAGCCTTACCAGCTTACTAATCACCTAGGTCGTGGGTATAAACTAATTTACTTCAGGCTTCTTTTGAGATCTCTATCCATACTATTTATAAAAAGAATTTCTTGTTTTATACTTCTACTTTCACATTGAAAAGGAAAATTAGCTCCTCTTGCCTTCATAAATTTCATTAGGACTGTGTGAATAACATTTTTACTGATTTATAATTTACCACATAATAGGAGCTTCATTTAAAAAAAATTTTTGCAACTTGATTTCTACAGTGAACTTTTATAGGTGGTGTACTATTGAGCGTAGTAGTCAATACAGTACCCTGGATCACGACTGCCTTGTATTCAGTGATTTTAAGTAATAAGGTTGTACATATAGCTGTTGCCATAAATTATGGTTATTAGAGCAAATTCAAGATTAGCTACCTTTCAATTTTGAAGTGAGGTACTTACTGCTGCTATAGAAATAGGTATTGCCATTGCCATCTATACTAATTAACCTACTCCCTATGACAATGAGTTAAATGGGAACCATCTCAATGAATTGAATAGATGTCAGAGTTGGTTAAATTTTTAGTGGGTTTTTTTTCTTTGTATTTTATACCATCAATATCCAAATTACATGCAATAGTGTTCCACCTCTAGCCACGAGGTATTCTATATTAATATTGAACTTAATGTTTTTGAGTGGGGAAATCAGGAACCTAAGAAAGGAAAATACACTGATCTTCAATGCAAGTTTAAGCTTTATGGAGTAACTTGTTGGGATTTAGCTGTCAAGTCTGAAATGTCACATCTGCTGTGATTAGTGACAAAGGAATTTGTAATTGCATTTACATTCATTAAGTCAAATGGGTGCTGTAGTTCAGAAGCCACTATTAACCACGAGGGAGGTGGTTTCACTCCAATTATGTAACTCCTTTATTGGTTAAATAAAGCATGCACAAATTGTGGAGGATTAACCTCAGTGTAAATAAAAACCGTCCAGAAGGAAGTCAGAAAAAGGTTTCCCTCCAATTATGTAACCCCTTTGGTGGTTAAGTAAAAGCATGTACAAATCCTCTCAGATTAACCACAACGTAAATAAGGTGTCCAGAAGGAAGTCAGAGTACCCGCTGCTAAGAGACGGTCAATTTTCCTCACGCACTCTTCTCCAGGATTTGCTAAGTTTCCTCTTAACTACCACCTCGAATGTGGAAAAATACACTTAAATTTCTCGGAAAAAGGTCATTCGAAGGTGTGAATGGAAGGGGGGCGTATTTTGGAGTATTATCCTTGCGGCAGGTGCACACTAACTGGTATTGCTGCCCCACCTGGCGCAGGTGAGGGCGCGCACGCAGCCGACCAGCCGAGCTCCCAGCACGCGTCGGGGTCACGCGCCCTACCGCGCAGGCGCACTGTCGCGCAGACCCGGGCGCTCCCCGGTGCCCCATCTTCCGATGCCCCGCAGCCAGCCTGCTGCATCCGCGAGTATAGCAGTCGAGTTCCCTCCTTTGCCTCAAACCAAGATCGCAGCATCGTTTTCCCGGGTCTGAACTCACAAACTACACTCGCCCCTGCAAAAATAACGTGAATACCCTATGTAGAGCCTATTTTCATCGCCGCCGCCATTTCTAGAAGTTTCCAGCCCCATCCATGGCCGTGGTCGCAACAAAAAGCTAGTTCAGATTCCGCTGGCCCAGCAGCTGTCAGCGGCGGCTGCGTTGCTTTCATGCTCACCCTTTGATTTCCCCCTCCCTTCTCAGGCCAGTGACGGCAGAGGGGAAGCAGTGACAACCGGGTGGGGTGGGGGACGAACCTGCAGGGAGGAGTTCCGGCCTGCACAGCCACTCCCGCCTCCCACTTGGTACGTTCCGCCTCCCACTTGGTACGTTCCGACTCCCGGCCCCGCCGCTAGGGAAGCTTCTTGGTAGAGCTGAAAGAGAGGCGGGACAGCGAGGAGTGGCCGGCGGAAGGGGCGGGCGAGCGCCTGGGGGCGGGGCGGTCACGCCGCTGGTCCCGTGCCCGGAGAGTCACGTGCCTGCGCCAGAGCCAATCGTCGACCGGCGCTGCCCTGGGAGCGAGGAGGCTGTGGTGAGAGACTGTCCGAGGCCGGAGATGTTTTCAAGCCTGGCTTCGGCGGCGTTAGTGGCGGTTGCAGCGGTGACGAACACAACAGCGACGGCAGCGCCGAGGCACTCGTTCAGGAGCTAAAGCCTCCTGCGTCGACTGTGCCCCAGGTCCGTGAGGGCGAGGGGGGCGTGGCGACAGGCGAGGAAGAAGGAGGGGCGCGGTTTCGAGCCGGGTCCCCGGCGCCTGGGAAGAGACCCCTCAGTTCTGCGTTGCTCCAGTCCCCCATCCTCAGAGCAAGGTTGGGACGCACCCTGCCCACCCCGTCCCGCTCCGCGCCGCCCCGTCACGTTCAGCCTAAGGCGCCGCCAGGCTGACGGTGACAGGCCGTTAGTGGCCCCGGCTTGTGTCCGCCCTGCCCGCCGCCGTCCCTCCAAGAGTCCCGAGGAGCCACGGCGCAGCTGGCAGCTACCAGCTGGGCTAGGTTCGCCGCGCAGTGTGGGGGCGGAGGATTCAGCGGGGCGCCCCCAGCCACGGCTCCCTAAGCTGGGCTGCCGCCGCCGCCGCCTCCCGGAACATGGCGGGGCCGGGAGAAGCGTGTGCGTGCGAGTATACGCGGCCCGAGAGGGCGCCGCTGGCGTGCCGCGGCCGGACCCGCCGGAGCGGGGCGGGGCGGGGGTGGGGGCGCGCCTAGTCCGCCGCGCACGCTTGCCAGCCCGCGAGAGACCGCCGTGGCCACTCCGGGAGGGAGCATCGGAGGTACCTGGGGGCCGGGGGAGAGGTAGATGAAAGGGAGAAGGGAAATTGCCTCTTTAATAGTCTCAGGGGTAAGGTGAGCGGCCACATTGCGGTCCTGTCTTAAATGCCAGTGTAATCTGTCCTTGCTGCATTGAGCAGTCGGTTCTCTTGATCGTTTTGTGAGTGCCCATTCGAATGGTGTTTGTAGACCCTTGGAGCGCGTCAGGTTCTTCGATCTTATTTTGAGGGGTAATATGGTGTGACGCATCCTGGAGGATCCCAAAGCGTTGAATAAAACGGTTGTACAAAGAGGTTACCGAAGCCCAGCTGACAGCTGTTTTGATAATAACAGTAAGAAACAGACTAGGATTGGAAGTTAATATTATTGCACCGGTTGAAACAGTATGAAACATTTTAAGCAATGTAGTCGAGGTTGCCATTTCCACTGGATACCCGCGGCTAAAATGCGAACGCAGGTGAAATGGGTTGCAGATACAGTGATCTGTAACGATTTGGAATTACTGTCTCTAATCTTGAAGTTCAGATGAACCGGTGTTCTCAATCATGTATTCATTTTTTTTAAGACAGTGTATATACAATATAAAGGAAGGCGAACTAGTAAAGTAGCTATTTTTAAATAAATTGACTGTTTATTAAAAAACATGTGCTCAAGTAGGCTGTTAAAAATCTTGCACTGATCTGTTTCAGTTTCTTCAATCATACAAAGGCTTCCTGGAGGTTAGCTCAGAACTGGCAGAACTGAGGCTCTATTGGTGCCAAGAGGCTTAAAAACAAAAGGAGATAGTGTCGACTGTGTAAATCAAATTGTTATAGGAACTAATGTTGTTGGGAGAAGTCTTTAATTTGGCCAAACGCAAAAACAAAGATTCTCAATGTATCCCCAGGAGATTATAGGCAAGAGGAGAAAGGTTTTACTACTTAAAGATCTTTTGTAGTTGGCACAAGCACTAAATTTCCAAAGGTTTGCAGATGGCTTGACTAAGGTCAAGCTTAACTATCCTATTTAAGGGACAGGCAAGGTGTTAAAATGAAGTAAAACCTAAGTGTTAAGTAGTATTCATGGAAGGAAACGAGTTTAAAAAAAATAACGCAGGATGCCTTTAATGTTTTTAATCTCTATAGTTGCCTTAGTTGTTAGTATGGTTTTATGAACAAACGGAGCTGGGAAAGTGGAAATCTCTGGGTGTGTTTTCCATGGAGAATATTTGAGGAAAAGTAGAAAATATTCAGATAAGAAAACAACTTAATAGGTGAATATGTGTTGTGTGCTATCTATTATATTTTTAGTTCTTTAATATCAGGAAGGGGGCGGGGAAACTTGAATGGGCGGGGGAGAGACAAGTATCCAATGAATTTAAAAGGAAGACGGTTTTATCAAGATGCTTATATGTTACTTTTTTTTCCTATAGAAAAATGTGACTGATATTCTCCTGAGGTAGATTGGAGAGATGGTAGTAGCGATTTGGAAAACAAGGCTTTTATTCTAAAGAAGAAGAATAGTAAAAATATTCAATTTCTTGATATTAGTTGACTAGCAGTTAAGTTTTCTTTAAACCATTCTTATATTTTAAGAGCATCATTTCAGTCTAAAAGAATTACTGGCGAGATTATTTCTGTCATAGTCCATAAGAGGTTTAGACTGCTTTCTGTATGTAAACTCGATGATACTAAAGCAACGTCTGTCAGATAGGCATGAAGAATTTGTCCAGTAATTGTAGGTTGCTGAAGAGCTATTGACACTACTTTCTGACTGGGAACTTGTTAAAACTAACACCAATATGTATTTGTAAAATGCCTCACTGTGTAAAGAGTACAGTCTTGGGAGATTTATCCTTAGTACTAAAACGGACCACATATTTTCCAGTCTAGTTCCCTCATTTTGCAGATGAGAAAATAAAGGCCTGATTAAGGTGAAATAACTTAATGAAGTTAACAAAACTAGTTAAAACAGTCTGGGGTTTGGGCTAGAGATTTTGTTCTGTGAGGATTGCCTCTTTTTTTAAGAAGTAGCATTAGTGGAAAGAACATTGAACTGTAAGTGAGAAGACCTGGGTTTAAATTCTTGATTTGTCACTTCCTGACTGTGGTTTTTGACAAATCGCATTAACTGGCAGAACCTTGCCTCCTTAATCTACAAAAAATATTTTCCTACATAATTTACAGAATTGTTGGCTAGAACAAACGTGATTACATGTGGACAGCTTATTATATACTGTGAACTTTTATACATTTAAAAAGTGGTGATATTATTTTAAAAATAAATACAGTTCTTGCTGTGTAACAAGGTGTCATGATCCTTTGGGTTTGCTTAACTTTAGCTTTATTGTTTTCAGCACCTGCTGCTGTTTTACAGATTATAACTCCCAGTAGATACATTTTCTGATCTGCACGTAGTTCTAATCTTAGTAAAGCCTCTTATGAACATTTTTAAAATTGCTGTTGTTAGAGCCTGACTTCCTCTGGAGAACATGTAATTTCTTCATATAGCATTTGAAAACATTCTCATATACACTCACGCATGCATAATCTGTTTCTTTAACAGTGGCTTTTTAAAAGTAATAGTGAAAGTATCTTAGTTGGAATGTTAATTTGTTTGTTGCTAGTTTCCAGATATGGCAATAACAGGAGATAATTTTCCTTTATAAACTCAGCTTTGAATAGTTCATGTTAAGGTTATCTTGCAGATCTAAAATACATAGAAATGTTAAGACAGAATTTTCGTTTATTGACTTTTGCTGTTAAGTTTAAAGACATTTTCTTGGAGTGCTTTAAATTGGTAACATTGGAAACCAATGTCAGTATTGTAGTATTTCATAGGTTATTTGTACTTTGAAGCTAAAGTTTATGATATACATTTGTTGAGCACTTAGAATATGCACGTCTGTGTTCGAAGTTTTAAGTGAAACATTTCAGATAATTTTTATAACCTTGTGAAACAGACACTATTATTCTAACATATGGTTGAGAAACTACACATCAGGTGATGTGTAGGTATTCACAAACTTAAAAAACGAAAGACTCTTGTCCCCATTCTAAACCACTTTTCTGTATGCTGTCCCTGATCAAGAGGTTTAGCTGATTTTGAAAAGTTTAAGACAGTGTTTCTTAAATTTCAGACTTAGTGAAAAATGTTTGGGGGCCAGCTATTCTACCACCTGCTGTGTTGGTCAAAAAAACAGAAACAACAAAAATGAAACCACCCAAAAAACAAAAGTAAAAGAAAGAACTAATGAGAATCGTGGAATATATAGACCAAGCAAACCTTTCTGTGATAAGCTGATGTAGTTGTTGGGTTTTTTTATGTTAGTTGTCAGAAGCATGTTAGACTCCACAGCTATAGAAGAACTACAGTTAACATTACAACAGGCTATTCTAACAGACTACACCTTGATATGGATGTCATTGTCCTAAACATACTTTAGTCAGAGTGACTGAAGAAAAAAGATAACTAACCAAACTCATTTAGGGCTTTTTTATAAAGAAATAGATCCAGCAATAATAAATTTAAGATTGTCCAGGTTAGAATATAGCATTTAAGATTAGGTCTTCTGATTAGTGAGACCTTCCAAAATTTTAAGAAATTCAAATTCAAACTTAAGTTCTTAGAAAATTAAATTTAAACACAGAAATGCTCCCAAATTGAGATAAGTAGAACAGGTAAATTATGAAGCCACAAGTTATAGGGTAGAATTTGTTTATTTTTCTTTGTCATTTAAAAATTGTGTCATCTTTGGACAAACTCTTTAATATTTGTTTATTACACTAAAATAGTTTCAAAATTTGTAGTTAACTTTTTTGGTTATGTTTATATTTGAGCCATAATTGGGGAAAAGATAATAAATATTAGTGATAAATACCATAATTTTAAACTATCTTAGTGCTTGAAAGAGTTGTGAGAGCCCTGTAGCTTCTCAGATTTCAAATTTTCCGCATAAATAGGCAGTTTGTCAGCATTCTGACTTCTAAAAGAAAACAAAAACCGTGCGTCTCTCCCTCTTTTCCTATAAATAGCGATATTTATTGACTCAGGATAAGATAATAGCATGTTAAAAATTATGGTGCTTTGTAGTTCATGA